TTTTTTAATGAATATAATTTCTACATACCTTTTAAAATCTTTAAATTCTTCTTCAACTCTCATCTTCTTCATCCCTCACCAAAGGATTTTATATGATTTCATTTTGTTTATTATTGAAACTTTAAAAAACAAATTTCATTAAAAAATAAAAGAAAGTAAATGGAAGAGCAAATGAAGAGTTGGAGGTTAAACTTGGGTATACAAAATTACAAAAATAACCTGGGTTAATTATGAGCTATACATTTTTCATCAAGGGGCAAAAAAGTCTTTAACATATTCAACATTTAAAAAAATTAAAAAAATAAGAAAAAAGATAAGAGGGGTTCTAAGCATTAGAAGGTGCCACCTCATTACCTTTGGTTTCTTCTTTAATATATATATAGATTATTGACTTATTTCAGTGTAACACCGATAATAAACATTTTTAAGTGTTTGATAAATAAGTTATACCCGTACCAAATCGGAATAAGAAGTTTTTGAAGAAAGTAACACATAAGAAGCGGTGTTTGAAATTGTTTATAGAAACAACTTATTGACTTATTCCGATGTGACATCGATAATAAACACTTTTGAACTTATACAAATGTCAAACCGATAATAAAGAGTTTTTAAAAAAATTAAACCTTTCGTACTTTTATAAAAAACCACAAGTTATTTTAAATAAGTAATCTCAAAACACCCATAACTTATAATAATTCTAACTTTATAAGTTGATAAAAGAAAGTCGTAAGTTTGTTCTAAACAAGCAATTCCAAACACCCCAAATCGGCGAAGAAGAGAAGTCCATTTGTGTTGGGTGCGAACTGTCTGCCGTATTGGGAGGAAAAGAGGAGTGATCGATTTTTCAATTAAAGGTCCTTTTTAGGGCTTTCAATTCTTCGGTTCTGTTTCCAATTTTCTAATTTTATCAGCAAGTTCGATCTTCTTATCATAAAGAATCTGCTCAATCCGTTTGCTTTCGATTTTACATCACCAATTTTGCAGATAATTTGGTGTTGCTGTGAGTAAATAGCTACCTACAGTTGAGACAATGGACGTAGCTTCTGATTACGCCACAAACATTTGCAGTCACTGGTAATAATAGGGTTTTTTTCTTGGAACTTTTTGAATAATTGGGCGACTATTGTTTCTGATCATTAGGTTTACTGCTTTCTTTATGCTTTTTTAATTGTTTTCTTGCACTTTTGTTGTTTGCATTTAAGATTCCATGAGCTTACTTGGAGGTTATGGAAACACATTATAATTTTCTTAAGCAGCTGTTTAAACCAGCATGTTCTAACAGTACTTTTCTATGAGCCTTGCATACTGCGAAGTGTGCGATTGTTATGCGGGACAGGACAATATAAGAACCTGTTGTTTGTTGTTTCACGTTTGGCGCAATATTAGACTCCCTGTGACAAAAATCATGTTTTTCGGTCAATCAAAATAGGTGTAACAAAAACTAGGAGACAAGATTGGCACATTACTGAACATGTCAAATTAAAAACCTAAAACATTCCTTACCATCGCATCTTTAAATCTATGCTGGATAGGAGTATACAGTCTCGTAGAGTTCCTGTTCTATCAATGGCCACCTTAGCTTTCTGTTGTAGATGCTCGTTTATTATTCTAATTATTGATTTGTGTCTTGTGGTGTCATGCCACCTTTGTACTTCACATTTTTGCTACACTAGTGGTAGGCTTGTGATCGTGTGTTCACACAGTGGGCACAAAGTCCCAACAGTAGCGGTGCAAGTGCATGCCGACACTATGATCGCTTGCAAGTAATAAAGTGGTAAAATACTGAGATCGTTTCCACATGGACTGGACTACTGAGATTCAGAGACTTCATGAACTTCTTGATCGTGTTTCGGTTTGTGAATAAAAAGTTGATTTTGTTGGTAAAAAGCTTTAAACAATGAAAATAGCGAAATGAACTTATAGACTAAAGAATGGGCATGGGTGTAAGTGTTGTTTAAGATAAAATCAACAATAAAATGGTTAGAAACTTATGAGTTGTTTATAAAAATTCCAATCTCTCGAAAGTGAAAATTTACAAACGGTCCCATAAAGTTCCACAAAGTTCCTATGCTTACCACTTCGAAACTTGCCGATTTAGCTAAATAGAAGAAGAAATAATATTCATACCCAAATCTCTTTGTGATAAGAATAACCATCGCTTAATCCTTAGCTAAATACATACAAAATTCACATATCTACGTAATTATCGAAGACTCTCGAGTTCTTTGTGCATCACTTAAGCCGTATTTCGGATCCTCCCATCTCTGGGTCTAACATCTAATATTAACACTTCAAAGTGATCGGCTTATCCGCGTCGAGTTTAAGTCCCGTCTTAAATGACCAAGTTTACGAAGTGGTAAAGAGTAAAAACACCCAAATATTGTATAAAAATTCTAAGTTAAACCCACACCCACACCCACACCCACACCCATACAAGTAAATTAGCTCATAATAGACATAATAAACATATACAAAGACAGTTAATAAGACTGAAATGTAACTTTCATTAATATAAAAATAAACTCTGTTCCCACAGTGGTGAGATTGTTGGCCACAGATTACAACTTCAATACATATGGCTTGTATTGTTAGCTGTTCCTGCTTTTTCCAGCTTACCACAGAAGGGAAAGGCATAGCTTGAAAGAGTAAACCGAAATAAATTTTAGTTGTTGATGGTTCTTGACTGTTGACAAAGACAAATGAAGTTACCGTGGAACTGGAAGCTCCTAATAACTTGGATTTGCGGTTAATTTAAGACTAGAGGAATCTTTGAATCATATTTCTACCTATGTGCAACTTTTAACTCGTAAAAAATCGATTTTAGTGTCTGTATATTTACTCGGTCTGAAGGATCTTTACTTTACTTACTCGGACCTATGATAAAAGAAAAATAACCATAGCTTACACTAACAAAGGGGCCTGTTATGCATTTGTGTTCCTTAGATGTAAACCTTGCAAGTAATTTTAATGCTTACATAACCTTCTATTTTTAAACGGAACTTCATTCTTCCATTGTGTAATGAGAACAAATGTCATTTTGCTTATTTATCATATTTTCACTTACCTAAAAGTTAACTTACTATGACTGTTATTCTTTCATTAATCATTCTACTTTTACCGTTGTCTTCCTTTCCATATCTCTTGTTCTAGTTTTGTCATTGTATTTCTTTTTGTATATGTTTTTAATTTAAGACCTTGCTATTTATTACTTCTTAAAGTGCGTTTGGTACACTGGACACTGGAAAGGACACGACATGACATGACAATATAATTATAAAAACTTGATCTATGTTTGGCGTGACATTGGTAAATTACTAAACTACCCATGTCAAATTACAACCCTAAAATCTTTTAGAATTCTTTCACCCGCCTTCATCACTCTCGTTCGTCTAGTCTAGTTCGTCTAGTCTAGTTCTGTCTGCGTACCAAACGATCCTTTAAAACTATCTATTGTCTGGGAAGCTTAGTAACCACAATGTTACATTTGCAGTGACAGAGCCATTCCTTCTTCAAATATCGATCTGCATTATGCTCACTGCTCCCGCAATTTAGAAAAATGTAAAATCTGTGACGATATGATTCCCAAAAAGCATGCAGAAGAACATTACTTGAGCACCCATGCTCCGGTATGTAGCTCCAAGTGAAATAATGTTAATTAACTGTATCTAGCATGTTCCTATACTAACTCAAATTGAAATAGTTTTTAGAACGAGTTTTGCAGGCGTCTTCTGTTGGATTTTATTACATATCTGCTTCTATAACCAATGGTTGAACTGTTATTGGGACAGGTATCCTGTTCATTGTGCAGTGAGACGATGGAACCTGAAATCCTATCACTACACAAAGGTGAAAAATGCCCCCAAAGAATCGTGACTTGTGATTACTGTGAGTTTCCTTTACCTGCAATCGACCTTTTTGAGCATCAGGTAATCGCCAACAGATCTTTAACATATGAAACTGGCAATTTGCAGTCTATTGAACATATGCAATATTATGCTATTTCTATGAAATTCCAGGAAGTCTGTGGAAATAGGACCGAGCTCTGTCATCTCTGCAACAGATACATCAGATTACGCGAAAGAACTTCCCATGAAGTCACATGTAATGGTGTCCCAAATAATGCTGCAGAAACCTCCAGGTTTAAAAACACATTATCATTTCCCCTCTATGCTTTAATTTTTAATTTACTGCTATTTAACCTGTCATATTCTTTATTAATTTGAATGATGGGGGCTTTAAATGGAAGATGTGACAAAAATGTACATATACACTTATTTTATTTATTAAGATGGGTTATGTTGGCAAAATAGCTGAAAAACTAGCTGTTGGCTTAATAAGCTAGTTGATAAACTAGTAGTATGTTTGGTAAAGATGATAAGGTGAGTCCCATCCCTTTCGAAGTGCTTTCAATCAGTTTTCTTGGTAAGCCTTTCGTGAAAGGATCTGCTAAGTTCTTACTTGGTCGTAAGAAGCTAATGGTGATCACCCCATCATTTATTAACTGATTTACTTGTCTATGTCTAAGTCCGATATGTCTGGGCTTACCATTATACACTTGGTTGTATGCCCTTGATAGAGTAGATGCACTATCACAGTGTATAGAAATTGGCGGCATTGGCTTTGGCCATAAGGGCATGTTGGTCAACAAGTCCCTTACCATTCTGCTTCTTTACAACAAGAAGCTGAAGCGACAAATTCTGCTGCCATAGTAGAATCTGTTATGCAACTTTGTTTCTTTGATCCCCAAGACACTGCACCCCCACCAAGTGTGAAAATCCAACCACTTGTGGATGCGTAGTCTTCCTGATCATTGATCCAACTTGCATCAGTGTATCCTTCCAATACTGAAGGATATCCATTGTATTCCAAACCATAATCCATGGTTTTCTTTAAGTACTTGAGAACCCGATTTGCAGCATCCCAATGTGCTTTTCCCGGTTTACTAGTGTGCCTACTTAATCTTCCTACGACATAGGCGATATCAGGTCTAGTACATGTCATTGCATACATTAAACTACCAATAACTTTAACATATTCATTTTGAGCTAAAATTCTTCCGGTATTCATTGTTAATCTAGAACCTACTTCGAATGGAGTATTGACACGTAAGCAGTCAAATTTATTAAAACGCTTTAATATCTTTTCAATATAGTGAGATTGAGATAACATTAGTTTATTGTCATCTCTAAGAATTTTTATTCCTAAAATAACATTAGCTTCTCCCAGATCTTTCATATCAAAATTTTCAGATTAAAGTTTCTTTGTCATTTGTACTTGTTTTAAGTCGGTTCCAAAGATCAACATATCATCTACGTACAAGCAGATGGCAACCCCTCGACCATTAACAAATCAACAATATACACACTTGTCTGATTCGTTAATTTTGAAACCATTAGAGAGAATAACTTGATCGAATTTTTGATGCCATTGTTTAGGAGCTTGTTTTAAGCCATACAAGGACTTGATAAGTTTACAAACTTTATTTTCTTGTCCTTGAACTATGAAACCTTCAGGTTGTTCCATATACACTTCCTCCTCTAATTCACCATTCAAGAAAGCAGTCTTGACATCCATTTGGTAAATTATGAGTTTATTAATGGAAGCTAAGGCAATCAAAACTGTAATGGTTGTCGTACGTGCTACAGGGGCATATGTGTCAAAGTAATCTAATTCTTCTTGGGGGGAGGTCGACTAAGACCCAAGTATTATTACCTATGATGGAATCCATCTCATCGTTAATTGCTTCTTTACAAAAAGATGCATCATGAGAGTTCATTGCTTCCGCAAATGTACTTGGTTCTTCATCCAAATTGTAGATGATCGGATATTCTTTCATTTAACCATGTCGATCACCTTCAACTAAGTACATTTCAAAGTCAGGTCCAAAGGTTCTTGCCTTTCATTGACGTTTACTTCTTCTAGGTTCAATTGCTTGATGATTCGGAGAATCATCATCTTCCCTTTCATCATTTATGGAATTTTTTGTAGACCCGATTTCCTTATAAATCTCATGTGCCTTTTGAATGCTTTTGAACCTTTGTTCGTCAAAACAAGCATCTCTAGATTCTATGATGGTGTTAACCGAAATTTGATCATTTGGCTCAACCACCATGAATCTATAGGCTTTGCTATTTTGGGCATATCCCAAGAATATGCATTTAATGCCTTTGTCTCCTAACTTTCTTTTCTTTGATTCTGGAAGTCTTACAATTGCTCGACATCCCCAAATTCGAAAATAATTTAGCTTAGGTGTTTGTTGATTCCATTACTCATAAGGGGTCTTTTAACTTCTCTTGCTTGGTACTCTATTGAGTATGTAGCAAGATGTAAGTTATGCTTCACCCCAAAATCCGAAACTTAGTCCGGAATTTGACATCATTGAATTTACCATCTCCATCAAAGTACTGTTCTTTCTCTCCGCAATACCATTTTGTTGTGGTGTATACGGAGCCGTTACTTGGTGAATAATTCCCGTAGATTCGAGATATCTAGGGTTATAGTATTCACCACCCCTATCCGTTCTTAAACATTTTATCTTTGTCTCACATTTAAGTTCTACTTCATTTTTGTAGATCTTATATTTTTTAAGGACTTCATCTTTTGAATGTAAAAGATATACATAGCAATATCGAGAATAATCATCGATAAAAGTGGCAAAATACTTTTTACCACCAAGAGAAGGAGTAGCATGCAAGTCACATGTGTCACTATGCACTAAGTCTAAGATTTTAGAAGATCTTTGGATTTGAGGGAAAGGTTGTCTAGTAATTTTAGTATGCATGCATGTAAGATACTTTTGATTTTTATCATCTAACTTTGGAATTAGATCACCTTTTGCCATATTTTTCAAATGTTTAAAATGAAAGTGATCTAATTGACCATGCCTTAAAAGTAAGGAAGAATCAAAGTAAGCAGAACTAGTAGTAGTATTATTAGCATCAGTCATATGTACATCGGAAGCAACCACATTTTTTGCGTTGTTTGAGTCAATCATATTTACATCATTCACCCACTACTATTCACAACATCATTTATGTTTAGTTTAAACATTCCTCCGGTAAGATAGCCTTTGCCGACGAATTTTCCGCCTTTGGAGAGTATGAACTTGTCGGATTGGAAGACGAGTTTGAAACCATGTTTGTTGAGGATTGATCCGGAAACCAAGTTCTTGCGAACGTCGGGAACATGGAGAACATCATTTAGAGTCGATGTGTTCCCCGATGTAAATTCCAAAGTTACCTTCCCTTTTCCTTTTACTTGAGCGGTTGAGTGATTTCCCATGTAAAGTACGGAGGTTGAAGCTTCATACGTTTTGAACATGTCCATGTTGTTGCGCACATGTCGGGTTGCACCCGAATCAACCCACCATGTCTTCATCAAGTGAGAATGCCTCGAAAATAAATAGTAACAAAGTTGTTGTTCTTGGAGTTTCCATCCTTGGTGTTGTCACCACCATTTCCTCTCCTTTTTAGAAGTCGACAATCACGCTTGTAATGTCCCGGTTTATTACAGTTGAAACATATCACTTGTTTCATATTTCTTTTTTTCTTTCCGTCTCCATGATCATGGTGTTTCCTTTTCTTGCCACCGGCTTTGGAAGTCTCGCCCTTTTCTTCAACTACATGAACTTTGGAAGCATCTTCGTTGGATTTATTTTCCAACCGATATTGTTCTTCAATGAGATGATGTTTTCCAAGTTCTTTTAAGGACATATCATCTTTTCGATGTTTAAGATTTTTCTTAGCATCTTTCCATGAAGGAGGGAGTTTGTCAATGATCGATGCCACTTGGATCGATTCAACCATTTTCATGTCTTGTTGTGTGAACATACTTAGAATGTGCTCAATCTCATACATTTGATCCATAATAGGGCGTTAATCTAGCATCTTGTAAGAATTAAACTTTGAAACAATAAATTTCTTACTTATTGCATCTTCCGTGAAGTACTTTTGTTCGAGAGCGTTCCAAAGTTCTTTCGCGGTTTCGATGTTTTGATAAACATCAAAAAGAGGATTGGACGTAGCATTGAGAATGTGACCATGACATATAAAATCATCGTTTTCGAACTTGAGAGTTCCCGGGCCGTATTTAGTGTCTCGTTGTCATGTGGTTCCGGATATGGTTTGGTGAGAACATATGAGACGTTGAGAGTGGCCAATAAGAATTGTATCTTCTTTTGCCACCTTTTGAAGCCTCCACCATCGAAGCGTTCTAACTTGACTATATCACATGACATTTGTTGGAGATTTTTCGTTGCCATCGTTGCTCGAAATTGCTTCAAGATTGTTTTATTTCGGGGTTCAGAACTAGAGGTATAAAATGACTAAAGTTGAATTAACTACTTATTGCTTTCAAAGCGAGTAAACTCTCTATCCTTAAAGCAATTTCGCCCCCACCGTAGGTGCTTTAGGTTATGGCGAATTACTTCTCAAGGTACAATGAAGCAACGTATGTAGATTGATTATCAACACCGAACAAATGGTGATAATCCCGATCGGACTATTGAGTAATCAATGATTTCAAGAAGCCTAAAAGTATGATTCTATAGCAAGATACTTTTAGGTTAAATTTGTATATGAAATGATGATTATTGATGTTTATAAGTAGGTATATATAGGTATAAGTGACAACCCTTTGAACTGTCATGAATCGACAGTTTTTAACCTTTCACGAATGTTCAAACCGTCGCAACTGTTCAAACATCACAACAGTTACTATTCTGACGTTTCAAAGCGTCGCGACTGTTCAAGCAGGTGCCTATTATACGAACCGTCACGATATGTCACTTATAAAGCTGTCAAAAATATAATATAGACCCCCACCCACCATTTCCAATATATCTTAAATTAATATATAGAAAATTGTTCCATTATATACCCACTTTTGTTCAACTCTTTCATCTATGTGGGATAAGGTGAAACCCACCAAATCCAAATTTAAGACTCAACCCAAAACACTTGAACCTATTTACTTAATTTTGAAAAATTTCCAACAAATTAAACCAAACACACCCGGTATCCGTCTCAATATTTATATTTAGGTTAAAAAGGATTCAGTAAATGGGCATGGGAATGGGAATGTGAATGAGTGACTAACTGATTATAAGGAGTTTATTGAAGGAATGCTTCATTTTATTCGTGATAGATCCATTTTCGCATCTAGAAGCTTGAAAAGGTACATAATCAGTTTATCATCTTCCATGTGAACACATGTTTCATAAAATCTACGTGAAAAGCAAAACCGTTATACAAAATTTATAACATTGCCGTCATCTGCTTTATAACGCACGTGATTACTTTTTCTCGTTTCTTTTTGGGAATTCAATGTTTCTTTCGTGTTTCTGAAGGGGCAGGGAAGGTGAAAGAGAGGGCGGTAGAAGAAGGCCCCCACCAGAAGACTTGTCTAGAAAAAAGCTTCTGTTCACCATAGCCATAACTGGGATTGCTGTTGTTTTAGGGTCTATCATTTTCCACAGAAAACCAGTGAGCAGTGAGCTGCATTAAAACATCTTCAAAATTTGTCAAGAAAATGTTTGTGTGCACACACACTGATTTGGTTTTGCATTTCAGTCAGATGTTGATGCAGACCTCCAAACTCATTAGCAACATTGGTAAGATGCATGCCGGACTTGTGCTTGATATGTTTGTTCTACGAGACACCCCTGCTCCTTTTTTTACCTCATGTAAAACGATGATTTGTGACTAGAAGCTAAACATCATCATTCTTTCAAAAATGCAAATGCAATGATTTTCGTCTCTACTTATTTCTCTAATTAGACCCAAGCGTTTTGGTGTATCTAGTAGTCTTTAGGGTATGCAAGATCAAGGCAAATATATAACTTCTTGTCTCATGTTTTGTGTGACATTGGATTGGGACAGACGACACTCAATTGGGATAAAAATGCATCTTTTTTTTTAACAAATTTAAGGAGATGGAACAAGATCGATAAATTACCAAAGAATATATATATATATATATATATATATATATATATAGGGGCAGGTTCAAATGAAAACCATGCCATTCTAAAAAACCGTGTAAACTAAAATCGACTAATAGGAAAATTCTATTCTTTTTTAATTAAATTTAATCAATAAGATCATTGTTATTATTTTTTTTCATAAATAAGAAAGTTATTAAGGAATATTAAATAAGGAAATTTAATAATGGAAATTATATAAATGAAATGATTTAAAGATTTTAATATTTTATAATATTAAAAATTGA